ATATCATTTGGATACAGATGAGATATTTGATGGATGGTCAAAACTTTTTGTTATACCAAACTACAGTAGACTGACAGTAGACTGAGTGAAAAAGGAAGGCTGAATGACACATTTTAATATAAAGGCCCATCATGAACTACTGAACATTTTTTTTATTGTGATTCGTCAGTCCACCAACTGAAACCAGTACCTTAATTTTCTCTACTCAGTTTTATTCTTTCTTCTCAAGGACCTATATTCCCTCTTTTCAAGGACTATATAAATGAGAGTTTTGCTCCAGAGGTTTAATAATAAGTTCAGTTGTTGGTGCACGAATAAACGCTTTATATATTTAGTGTTAACTCTTTCAGTTAAATGAAATATTCAATAAATTTAATTTATTTGGAATAATTTGTGAAGTTCTTTGATACCATGTTAAGTCTAGCGAAAATTTTGACTTCTGACCTACAAAATGTTAAAGCTTTATATACTGAATTTTAATAGGAAAATTAAAGCAATATCATAAAGGCGAATATCTGAGATAGAGGTAAGAAAACTCATATATCATGCAGTAGCTTATTTCAGCCATTAGGAGACAAAACTCTTTGTAGTGTAGGGGTACAGAACAAAGAAATGTGGTGAAAAAATCCTAACTCGATCCTTGCAACAACTTAACATTTTCCTTTTAATCATCTATTTATATTGCTTTAGATATTTTGTTTTATTTTTCAGGACAAAACATCATTTCATAATTTAGCTATTAAAGATATATATTTAAATATAGACCAAGTTAAAAATTAAATTTGGATTAAACTATTTTCTTTATTTCGTTACTTCACATACGTTTTTTAGATGTATGAATTCAGTTCAGTGCATATTGGTAGTACTGATGTTGGTTTGAATCCCAGTCCCCATCATTCTCTTTTTGCTGTTTCTGTTAGAATTAGGCGACATGGGACATCACAAACTCTAAATAATGTTGTATTCAAAGGAGCTTTTCTTTCTACCTTTGCTACTCTCTTCACATACTAAGAAAAGATGTTTACAAAAATATCACAACATATAGGGTGACGGCAGTGACTTCAGTTATGTAGAATGAAGAATTTACGTGCGAATAGGTCCTACTAGTAGAAACTTTGGTGACATTTAATGAGAATTCGGAATAGAGTACTAGTATTAAAAAGCAATTAACTTTTACATGAAAAACGTTATGAATTTTTTTTTTCTCTAAGCTTAAAAGTATGAAAATTTCAATCTTTTATGAAAAATTCAATAAAAAATTATCCCCAAATTGGGGATACAATGAAAGCATTCAAATAAGTTGATCAATGACATAAGGTATGATTTCTGCAATAATGTTAGAAAGATATTTATTCGGATTTAGTGTAGATCATGCTCGGTTCCAAAATATCCGCTGTACACGAACTCAAACATAGGGCATACTAGTTGTTTCATTTGATTATTTCTGTATAAACGAGGGCTGCTCTAGAGAAATGGGTAAAAAGTTACGAAAATACACAAAAGAGGTATTTCATCCTTCACCATGATTATTTTCTATAGCTAAAATTAAAACAAATGATACTGATAGTAAATACACATAGATGTAAAACGACTGAGATGTAATGCTTATTATATTTTTGAATCTAAAGTTAAAGTTCATCTTCTTTTGAAAATTAATGTTAATATAATTTTTATATTTATTATCTTTTAATTAATACTTTTAATTTCACTCAGGTTTGCCTTTGTATAAACGATTTTTGAATTTTAGAATTAAGTACGTCATACGAATTTTTGAACGAACTTTAGGATACGAATACGAACTTTAGGATTTTTTTTTGAAGCAGGAGTCATGAAAAATGAGCAGTGCTCTCGCCCAGACTTGAACCTTGAACCTCTCGAATACGCGCCGAGTGTGCTAAGTATTAAGTTATGAAGGCAAGATAAGAAGGCGAGAGAAATGCTTTATGTACTCCCCCCTTTTAAAGGCCGACTGGGGATTAGGTGACCCAGTCGCCAAATTCTGGTGGTGGAGAACCATCTTTCACTAACGGTTTTAGTTTGGGTGCCATTGTAGATTCATTAGGATTTTTTTTGAAGCAGGAGTCATGAAAAATAAGCAATGCCCTCGATGGAACTCGAACCTCCAATCTCTCACATACGCGCCGAGTGTGCTGACCATTAGACCACGAAGGTATGTTAAGAAGGCGGGAGAAATACTTTATACAGTAATGTAGTGAAACCGACATCTTTAATTCAACATTCATTTCTGTTAACTGGGAAACTAAGAAGAATTATTACAGTTACCATTTAAAATTAAGTATGTGCTACACGAAGTACTACAGTTAATACGAAGTGCTGTTTAAAAAACCAAGCAACTGCAATTAAAGTAGCTAGATTTATATAAGTTCCTAGCTCGGTAGCCTCCTCCATATTTAAAGTCTTTCTTTCTTTGATTGAGAATCGTAGAAATGCATCTTCATTCTCTATAGCTGACTTTTCGCTGCTTCTGTTTTTATGCCAAGAATGAATTTATACGCTCTCCATATCAATGAAATACACCAAAGAGTAAGTATTTCAGCTCGAAGAAAAAATGCTATATCATCTCTCTTTATTGACCCGGAAAGGGCATATTACTTTCTTTCTGATTTGATTTGATTTGATCCTCTTACGGTGGAATGGATTTTCTGACAACTATTTACTGCTGCCTGAAAAGTTTTGAAATGGATTCGGATCTAAATTGTTTTTTGTTACTAAATCTGTTATGTATTATGCATTACTGGGTCAAATGCGTTATTTTGAATGAGAAACTATTTATGTTCCTCATGATGTCCTGTAATGTCTTGTTGTCACTTTTATACATTTCAGCATTCAGCCTATTATTCCTTGTTCTATAACACAGATAAATATGTCTAAAGAAAACAGTCATCATTAATATACAGCGAATATTCTTATAATGTACTTTGCCATCAGTTTTGCTCCGTCTTTTCGTCTGCTATCAATAACATTAAAAGCCTTAATATTAAAAACTTCACATTTATTGATTACATTAGCCTTTATTATAAGTAAAGAAGTACGTTTAAATTAGCAAGCTAAACTTCTGAGCATTGCATAAAATAGGAGATGTTTTTGCTAATGCGTAGAGCAGAAGTAATAAATATAGTATAAAATTAAGGAGCTTCGTATTTACGTTTTATCCAATTAATAAAAACCAAATTATGATTCAGATTATACATTTAATTTTAGACACTTAAAAATCATGTAAAATCAATAAACTGGCCTATCCGAGTGCTATTCCTTCCTAGATACTTATATAGAGGTAGATAATAAGAATAAGTTTAGTTCAAAGTTTAAATGATGACGGCTCTGTTAGTATCCCGCTATTAAAATATAACATTTATTGGTTTGCATTTGCGAGCATATTATCCCACTACTAATAATAATGCATGGTAAGCTCTGAATTTAACATTTCATTCTGAAAGATTAGATTTACACAGTTTCATGATATTAACGGTACAACGCCTTCCATCAATATAGAATTTCAGTTTTACATCATTTTATAGCCTGATAGTACTACTTTAACTCAGTCTACTTTAGATCTTTCAATAAAATAAAAGGACTGCCAGATAGCTTTAATATAATTATTAACTTCAGTATAATTTCAACTTAATAAATTGTAATGCCAACTGCTTACATTTTCATTAACTGTAACTGTAACATTCAGAATAACATACTTATGAATAACTTTTTTTAAATTAAATTCCTTCAATATAATAGGATTTTTGTTACGTCAATACTAACTATGAATTATTGAACTCAACTTCCTTCTCCTTTCTCTCCCAAAAAAGCGTTCTGCTATAGGTTTTTTGTAACGTAAACATGTGCATTTATGTAAAATTTTTAAAAAAATTTATGAAGTAACACAACTAGATAATTCAATGAAATACGATAGATAAAGGTATGAGATAAGTATTCGTTTCCAATTAGATGTCATAATTGCCATCGAAAAGCTTCGAAACACTATATCTTACTTTCAAATTTATACACCCTTTTGTGTAATTAAGTTTATTTTGCTTACATTAAAAAACATTATTACATTATCACTTTTATAACTACAAAATGAATTAATATCACTTAATCTTTAGCATTTTTGTTATGAACATCAACATCTCTAAAGAAGACAACATTTCGTTTCCATATAAAATTAATTAACAACAGTTAAATACAAATTAAATGAGATGAGGAAATAGCGAACACTTTATAGTTGAACCTTGAATCACATACGGGGAAGGGGAGATTAAGAGTACCATAGTATCATGCGATTACCAAAGTAATTATATTTTTTGTCAAATACTGTTTAAGCTTTGCTTTCTGGAGCTTCATCTATTAATAGGCTTCTGGTGACCAATAGGCTTCTGGCTTCATCAATAATTAAAAAAAAAGTTCTGAACACATATTTTGCCTTTCTGTATCAGATGCGTTATTCATTCACTAAGGTTATAATAAGGTATTTCTCCCGTCTTCTTAGCATGTAGTGGTCGGCACGCTCCGTGAGAGTTCCGTGGTTTGAGTTACTGCGAGGACATTGCTCGTTTTCCATCTCTCCTGCTTTCAAAAAATACCTAATGTCTCTAGAAGGCTAGATAAATTTTTATTCTTTCTTAAGCTATGATCTGATAATTTATTAAATTGCTAAGTGTCTCTTAAAGATTTGAAATATATTTATTGAGAAGGATCTTCGTATACGCAGACCCGCACAATTAAAATCTGCATATTTCAAGAATCTATTACATTTCTCTTAAGCTTCCCATTTAAAGTTGGATTATCTTCTAAGCTTAACGTTAAGGAGAAAACGTCATTATAATTGGCATTACTTTGAAGAATGTAAAGAAATAATATGGCTAACAAAAGTGGATACATTTCCCAGTCATTTCACAAGTTTTCATTTCTGTTGTATGAACGTTTCTATACAAATCAACTTCTCAAATATTCAGTGTCGAAAAATAACAAATACTCTTACTTACCTTGTGAAAAGTTCAATGCTAAAGAAAACATATTCTCCGCTTTTTATCATTCCTAATTCTTCTGCAGCCAACAGGATTTCTCGAACAGTATCAGGAGAAGCACACATGACGATAACTGCAATAAACATTTAAATGTATAAAGAAAAGCCCGGTGGGAGCAAAGAGCAAGTCATAAGAAGATCATAACAACATTGTTTAATTTAATTTGTAATGACCATATATAAATTTTCAAAGTATTCTAATTCATTCTTATAAATAGCTCGAACTTTCAATGAATTATTAAACTTCTGAACAAAATAGTTAGTGTTAGTTAAGGTTGGTATGCCAAAAGGTTTTAATTGATGACAAACGTTTCATGATATTAAGAGAAAAGATAAACCGAAATTTCTAAAATGTCAAATAATCACAACGCAATGGTTTAGCACTTTAATATCAAAATCCTTGTAAAATACTTGAAAAAAGTTATTTTACATATTATAAGGCTTTCTGCCAAAGACAAAATCACCAGTCGAGAAAAATGTCAAAATAAATTAGTGTCTCTTTTGCATAATGAATCTGGGAAGCGTAAAAACGAATGTCCGCCAAGATATTGACAAGAGGGAGGATTCAAACTATGCTTTGTACCTGAGCCAGAGTGTCAATCACTCCGTTTCTTCTCTCACTGCACTTCAGCACTTTTTATCTTGGGATATACACCTGAAACTATTGTCTGTTAGGTAAGCCTTAACATATTTATGGCTGATGAATAAGTCTATGTAAGTTATTTTAAACCCTCGATTTTATTTTTTTTTTTTATTTGAGAAAAAAATATATTTCCTCGTGCACCTCAATGTAATACAAGAGGCTTACAAAAACGTAATTAAAAAACGACACATCAGCTTTAAATAATGCAATCAAACATCTTTGACTAAAAGGAACGCACACAATGGAAGATAAATAAAATACAAACAAAATCATTTAAAACATTCAAAATAACATAAAATAAATTCAAAATAACAATAACATGCAAATCATTAAAAGCGTAGACTGTTAATTTAATTAAAAAAGTGTAACAATTTAATTAAAGACTGTTAATTAATAAAACGACTGATAATTTAATTTACACAAATTAAATTAACAGTTTTTAAAGACATTTAAATGTCTTTGTGCTCAAGCAAAATTTCTTACTTGTTAGATAAAGATTTCATATTGCTTTAACTTATGGTTCTTTAATGAATTTCTATTAAATAGAGTATACTAAACTAAGAACTCCTTAACTATGTTAAGGAACAACTCCTCAACTCAAATCTATAAAAGCTAATAATCGGAGGATGTAAAAATGGGTTATGTGACAAAAGCCAAGTTTTACAGGAGTAACAAAAACTATCCCATTCCTCACAAGCATATCAGAAGTCAATAAGAAAATATTATGAGATCAATATAACTATGAGCCATGTAATTCAGCGTTTTTTAAACATCTTCTGACATTCTTGAGAGGAATGGGATAGCTTTTCTTTGCTACTGTAAAATTTGACTTTTGTCACATAGTCCTTTTTCATACAATTTCCGATTTAATTTCAGTGGTGAAAGTAAAATTATCGCCTCAATAAACGGAAATCTCGCATAACAAAGAGAGGCTGTTTATATCGTCATTGACCAACAGAAACATAGCGTTTTTTTAATTAATTTCAGAAACCTCGGAAGCAACAACGGCAATTAATAAAATATTTCAATATATTTAAGTATTAAATACATATTAATATTATTTCTTCCTACTGTTAGGGACACCCAAATAAATTATTTGTAATAAAATAGCAGAAGTTATTATATATTTTTGCTATAGATGCTTATTGATTGGACAGTAAGCCAGCACATAACGTCAGTTGAAAAAAAAGAGACTGTCACTGCAGATTTATTTCCTCAGATTTTACTTTGACAATGACATATTTCCGTTCTTCTTAAAACTTTTGATACGATTTACTCCACTATCACTTAAATACTTGTTTGCTAGGAAACCAACTACCGATTTACGGAGAATTTCAGTTGCATTTTATCCTTTAACTTGAAGAAATATAACAGCACACCGAATCTTGTATTTAGATGGAGCATGTTTTCGTTAAATATCTTTATATGGACATAGAAAAAGGATACATTTAAGAAAAGATAGAGCAAATTCCTTATTATATGCATATTAAGTTGGTCAGTATCAGAACATTTTCCAACTGAAATTGTATTTCCAAATCTGGCAACCGTCTTCCATGAGATTCATGGAGAAGACAGCAACATCGGAATTTAATTAAAAAGTAATCTTTATATTATATTAGCCATACGAATACAGTCAAAACTTTCTCTAGCAACATAAAACAATTAATATCGAGACAAAATGAAATATTAATTTGCACACTTTTAATTGTTATTGTGTTTATAAGCTACTTTGAAATGGCACAAATGTTTCATAGAAGGAATGCATTAATTAGCACATACCTTCGAAGTTTCGGTTATAACCCGTATTGTATATCATTTCAAGCGAAAGATTCTAAAGGCATTCGATATATTCAAACATACGAATTTCAGAGAGATGCAATAAAATTATTTATTGTTCTGGCTCTTAATAAATTAGAATATAAAATACTAAATATTTCTTTTACTACTGACATTCAGACGATAAATGTTAATATATATATTGAACCCTATCAACCGCATGTTAATAGTAGATATCACATAGACGGGATATTGCAAGACTCATGTCCGCCGAATGAGACGAACAAAATAATTTCTAATGATTCTTCCTTTCATTATCCTTATAAAACCACATACTTTATATGAGCAAAACCGTACATTGTATGTGATATACCACATACTAATATATGAGCAAAACCATATGCTTCAAGAAACATCCTTTGAATAAACCTGTATTTTCTGAAACATCCTGAGTGTATCATTTGAAATCATTTATTGGGTAAGGATACGCAAATATTTGACAAAGATGCAAATACGATAACTATCTTTTTCAGTTATAGTTCTTTCAGAATTCATGCCGTTCTTCGTTAAAAGTAACATGGACCCAGCATTTATAATAGCGCATTCTAACCTTTCAGTCTCGAAAACCAATTTTATTCGATACATCTTTTTGACAATTTTAATGCATAATATCACATCTTTCTAGTCGGAAATCAAAGAAATACAGGTACTTATTCAGTTGTATAGTGGCAGAAATTGTCTATAAAATGTCACAGTTTATTCATCTTCTGGAAAGAAAAAATATATAACAGGATAATATATAAATAAATAGAGTACGATGAAAATGTTTTTTTTTCCTCCGTAGAACTTGTATATGCTTGGAGAAAATATCTAAAATATGTAAATATTAAAGCTCAGAGAAAAAATATTTGACTATTGGAGACAGATAAAGCTAAAAAAGATGAGTCGTCCTTTCAGCTTAGCACCATCATCTGTAATGTATGAGACGAAAAGATAAAAAGGAAAACTGTATCCATGACTAAAATTGCGAAGGAATAGTAATGCATAAAAATAATAAGAATTGAATGTAGAAAAATGCAGATACACGCGAAATAACAGTATTTTTGGTAATTTTTTTGAGATATTAAAGCTCCTGAAAATGAATTTTATTCTTACAAACGCAAAATTTTTCTGTCTTTGATGATGTGAGGCTATTGCAGTTTTTAATGGTAATGTCCAAAATAATCCACGTTTCTATTTGGATGCGTTAGTTTATATGGGCAAATCTTACAGTATAAGAAGCGGCAACTGTCCACGTTTTTGATGCATTAATCACAATTCTTCAATATGTGTACTCTTGGTCACAAGCTGTACATCTACACGATTATCAAATTCTTCTCATGCTTGGTCATTCTTCCCATGTCGGCGGTGACGGTCTGCAGTGCATGCTTTATCCGACCACAAACTTCCTAAAGGAACACGGGCATTGACGGTACATAAACTCTGTCTTTAACAAACCCTCAAAGACAGAAGTCACGTGGTGTTAAATCCGGTGAACAGGGTGGCCAGGAGAGAAAATTGTTTGTTGTAGAAGCTCGTAAAATCCAGCGTTGGTGAACAGCATGATATAGAAGAGTTCGTACATTCCTATGACAATGGGGAGGTGCACCGTCTAGTTGAAAAATGTGATAATCATAACTGGTGTTCAGCTAGGGTACATCAGGTCTCCAACATGTAGAGAAACGAGTCATCAATCAGTTTCTTGTTCGAAGGGAAACGGACCGTCCACTTTCTCACCGGACACCGCACAGAAACGCGCACAAAACTCACACTACACTGAAACCACAGGTCTAGATACCTCAAAATGAAGTACACAGTAAGCCTTCTCATTTTGTGGGGCCATCTTGGAACCTAACTCGCGACTGCGCAGTAAACATGATAACCAAACAGCAATTAGCACATGAGAAACTTGGGCAGTTGCCAATGGTTTTACACGGGTAAGGTAATAACTTCGATTTAAAATTACATTTTAAAGCGCAGCATTCATTTATAAACACCCTGTACTTTCTTGTTCAGATAAACTGCGAATTAATACACAGTTTGAATAATAGAAAACATTTAGCATGTTTAGAATTTAACTCATTTGTCGCTATGGCTAAACAGATCTCCTTCAAAAAATTGTTATTGTCGTTTATTATCAGATGATCATTTGATTGACTTTACACAAGCGTTCGCTTTAGACATGCGTAAGACAGGAATGATGCCATTTTCAGTAATTAAAGAAGTAGCTCAAATTTATTTCACATCAACCGTTATTTGAAGATTTAATAACTTCGGAAACGTCTCTCAAATCCAGAAGTCTAGCTTTTAACTGATTAATACATGTCTGCAGTATAGGTATATGTTCACTCTGGAAGACATCTTTCCTTTAACGGCTGTCTACCTTAGTTGCGAGAAAGTAGTCGGACAACAGACGCAGTATACTACATAACTTCTAATTTTTTCCTTTACGGTTTTGATTTAAACTGTTTTTACACCTTTAATGCCATTAGTCACTGTGTTTCTAGTTTTCATTACTGCATATAGTTAGTTCCGAACTGAATACGGGATGGATTTTAATTGTTTTAATTTATTTTATTACCGCCGTCTATTGCTCTATCAGCCCAGCGTGCAATTTACAATAGGTTTTGAAATGCCTTTTTACTTTGTATTTATTCGTTATTCGTTACATCAATATGTGTTCATGCTTGTATACGTAAGATAAAAAATATATAAATCAGCTTTATAATTTAATTTACAATAGCCTCTTAATTCCTT